AGGGTCTTTATAATTAAAGTTCCACTTTGAAATGGCTATAAAAATAAAACTACCCGACCAAATGTCATCAAACTTGGTAAATGTCTATAAGAGGTCATGGGATTTTAGTTCCCGCAACAACAAAAAAGAAGAAGAAGAAAAAAAGTTCAAAAATTCACCACCAGCGGAGAATGGCGCTGTATGCAGTGTTAAACAAATGTGAACGTCATGTGACTTTGCAGTTATAAAAGTGAGGCGCCTTGTCTGAGCTGTCAGTGTTCTGAGTCGACAATGTCTGTTACCATGCAAGACCGTGCTTTGCTCGTGAAATGTTACTATGAATGCGACAGCAATGAACGGAGGGCTTTACAAAAGTTCCGTACTGTAAGAGGAAAACGCCGAGGTCCAATGACACAGCAAGGTTTACGGAAAATGATGGCAAAATTTCAAGCCACAGGTTTGTTATCTGTTGCACCTGTTATTTCGTTTAACCTTATTGCATACAGCGCCATTCACCGCTAGTGGTGAATTTTTGAACTTTTTTTTTCTTTGTTGCGGGAACTAAAATCCCATGACCTCTTATAGACATTTACCAAGTTTGATGACATTTGGTCGGGTAGTTTTATTTTTATAGCCATTTCAAAGTGGAACTTTAATTATAAAGACCCTGTATTATAAAAGAGTTAATTTTTTATATTCTTTTTTGTAGTTTATACTAGAACTTTAAATTTAATCTATTATTTTTTGTATCAACTATGTTTATAAAAAGTTGAGGTATTAAATTTCCTAATCTTATTTAAAAACAATTTTAAAAAAATGTAAAATGAGAGTTATAAATTATCTTCTAAGTATTAAGTAAAATTCCTTTGTGTTATTGTAAAGTATATAGATTAGTTATATCATTAATTTTTTGGTTAATAATTAATATCAGCTTTAAAAAATTTTAATTGCTATAAACAATTTTATTTTAGGTTTTGTTTCTCCTTAAGTCATTTTTAATTTTAAGTGGTGATCACATGTTAATTGTAAATACACATTATTTTCAATATAATTGCATGGTTAATGTAAGTATATTTAATATTAGTGTTTATAATTATCAATTAAATAAGAAGAAAACAAATCAAAGTTGAAGGAAATTTATTTCATGAATATATGAAGGATTTTGCAGAGAAATGCTTTCAGAAATTTGTTTCATTCATAGTATTATATATAATAAAAGTATAATACAGTTTATTTCAGCAAAAATTAATCAAATTTCAGAGATGTTCTTCAGGTTTTTTCTTCTTTTATTTCTTCCCCCTTCTCGATCTCCAGCATATCGAAGCCACCTTTTAACAGCATCTTCTACTAATGCCTGCGTAATGTCCAGGAATTTACTTCGCACTGCACCTATAAATCAATTTAAGTGTTAATATGTTTTCCATAATAGATAAAAAGTGAAAAAATTTAGATAAATTATCATTTACATTTTAAAATATTAATCAATACTTATTGTAATACTAATTATATTAATTACTATATATTATTAATTAATACTTATGACCCTATCCAACCTTAAAGTACACTAAACTTATTTAAAAACTATTCCAAAAAAACATTTTAAAAAAAGTAAATTTTTATAAAAATTTCGGTATGGTAATGGTACTGTTTTATATTATAGTATTATATACAAGTCATATTAGATATAATTTAAAAAAGAACCAAGCTCAGAATAAGCCTAAGATTTGCATTTTAAATTATCAACGAAACCAATCAAATTTCATGTAAAAAATGAATTTAAAAATGCGACTTTAAGAGTTCCTTAGTTGAATATCCTTTTAACAAAATAGAAAATAGGTAAATTATCTATAAGCACAGGTAGGTATTAAAGGTATTAGTCAGCACTGCAAAAACTATTCAGAAACTGACCGATTTACTTCACCGATAATGACCAAATTAATAAAACTGAAAGAATAGTTTTAAATTTATTTGACTTGATATTTTTTGTTCGATTTAATGGCAACTTTACATTATTAGTATTTATTAGTTTGCAGACAAAATGACAGACAAAAAAACAGAATGTCCAGTTTAATTTAAAACAATGGTTAATGAAAAACTAATCAGAAAATTATGTTACTATTCTATTACTCATTTTATGAAGTTAATCCATTTTTAATATCTAAATTGTTAATTCTATTATCTTAAATTCTAATTTTATTATCTTAAATCAAAGAATAAGTACTCGTGTGAAATTTCATCATTTATTCGAATGTATTATTAGTCATGGCTAGATCAAAATCACGATCTAAACTGTAACATTTAGAAGAGCTTTTTCTGGAACCTCAGATCAAAAAATCGCATGCAATAATACATGATGATACTTCCCAAGATAGCTGTTTCAGATCCTCATAATTTCATAAAAAAGGAAAAAGTTGATAAATTTCGTATTTTTATAAAAATAATTAGTTATTTTACACTTAAAACTTGATTACAAATCAAATAGATTTTTATACAGAAATATTTTAAAAGAAACTATTACGAATTAGAAAATTATCAAGCTATTTTAAATAAGGCACTATTGAAGAATTTTCATTCTTTTATACTCATAGTTATAGTTTTTACAGGACAGCAAAAGATGAGAACAAGTAAATGTATAATAATTAAATAAAAGTTCTCAGTCAAGCAAGTTAACCATGATTTTTTTATAAATATTGTCAGTAATTCTTTCAAGTACTTCTCAGCAACTTAGCTTAAATATTCAAGCTTAAGCAAAATATCAATTTTCTAGTTTACGAAATAAATTAAAAATTAAAAAAAGATGGTTTGTGTTGTATTTAAGAGAAACAAGATGGGCATTTTAATTTATATAATGTAAATAATAATATAGTTATGTTATGCAAATACAACACTGATACTAATTGCATACTTAATCAATTGCATACTGATGCAAACAATCTATTCAGCACTTATTGTGACTGACAAATATTAGACAAAAGCATGAAATTCTGATTATGTTTCTGATATTCCTTGCAAAAAGCTTTATGTTTTGAAAAGATATTTACTCTCAATAAACCCAAAATGGTAATCTTCAATATCACAAATTGATTTGAAATATAATGTAGTCATTTGGAAAATTTTTATACTTTCACAAACATTTATCATCTTAATTATTTTTTTCAATTTGAAAGTATTTTTTATTTGGAAGAAAAAAAATGAATTTTTGAACACGAAGGGGGAAAATAAATTGTGTTTTTTTTTCAGTACCTCTCCACGAGATGGCGCTGTCATAAACAACAAGATGTTTAAAAGTTGAAAATAACGCACACATATTTACAAGTAATTATATTTTTCCAAGCTTCAATTTTTTTTTTCTTTTTTAAGTACAGTAAACAAGCCAAAGCTTAAATGCTTCACATTTGAGGAAAAATTTCAATTTCAATTTATATTCACTGCCATGTCTTATTATTTGGGTTTCATAATGGACCTATAACTTAAACAATAAGCTTTTTAAAAAATGTCAATTTGCTGAGATTTTTTTCACTTAATTGGAAGTAATCAAAATTAAAGAATGATTCTTAAAATTGTTAAATTTTTATATAAACATACATAAAGTTAATATTCATTCGAATAATATTTTAGAAATTATAAAGCTAAATCACAAAAATTTTTCCTTTCACTAAACTTTCTACATATTGATATAACATTTACTTTGCAAATTATTTAATGGAAACCACCTTATTTAACAACAAAGTTCCAAACAATGATATTTTATTCCCCAAATTAAGTGCTTAAAGTCTAAAAATATTACAATTTTTAATTCTAATTATAGAAAAATGTTAAGATAATAGTTAAGATAAAAGAAAATTTTTGTTGAGTTTATCAACTGAAATTTATACCAAAAATGTACTGCATATTTATAATTTCTAACATAAAATAATACCTGCAATTAATTGTATTATCCGCGGATATTCTTAGATCGATCTTTTCATTGATGTCCCGACCCAATTGAGGGTTCTTGCCAAATCATTTGAAAAAAGGTTAGTCAAAATCCTGCGGCAGTTATATGCTGCGTCTCTCTCTCCAATCGTTCCGAAATGTTTCAGCTGAAATTAACATTGCTGAACTTACTAATTATAATAGTAAACAAAACTTAATAAAATAAGTAATAAATGCAACTTAGTAAATGAAACTTAATTTTAAAAAATAGATTAGTGCCTGTGCATTTAATATAAAATAATTTCACTGAACAAGGAAAAATGTGAAACAAATGGAGAATAACAGATCTCATTATTTGGAGTAAATATAGCTGCAAACAATTGTGATTTCATTGACTTATAAAAATAAGCAATAAATCTATTCACATTCATCCCCCACCCCCAATAGTAGCTAAAATAATTTTTGAATTTGTTATTTTTTAATTAAGATAATACAATCCTGACTCATTCTAATATTTTAAAATTATAGATAAGTTCTTAAACTTTACACACTAAAAAATGACAGATTTCGTTTACAAAATTCTTCCTGTATTGACAATGCATATATTATTTTATTTAAAAACGTATTACAAATTTACGTAAATTTGACATTTCAAAATGAAAAGTGATGCTTCATTTTAGTTTTAAAATAATTACTAAGACTGAAAAAGTTTCTAATTAGTAATTCTAGTTGATTTCTAATTCTAGTTTATTAATTTCTAATTGAAATAAGCAAAAATAAATGAATTAATTAATAAAAAAATTAGAATTTTAATGTTATAAACAAGAAATATATATCTAAAACAGAATTCGACAGTAGTAAACAAACAACAATGAACTATTTCCCTTCATGAGGCAGAAGCTAAATTGCAAAATAATTTATTGAAAATAGAGCCAAAGCTAATTATTACTTGAATATTTTTATTTCAAAACAAACTATTGTAGATATTTATATTCTAAAATTAAATAAAGGCTTTGAATTTTTATTTTATTGATATCTTTTTAAAAAAGGTAGTTAGTGATTAACTGGAAAGAAATTTCCAAATAGACTTCCAAACTTACGAAAGTTAAAAATCTTAAGTCGTTTTCTAACTCCTCATTCAGCAAGCTGCACTCTTCGTAGCTTTCTAACAGATTGAAAGAGAAACGTGATGCTTCTTTCGAAACTTCTCTTTTTTCAAGCATTTCCCTGTTATAGTCCACTTGAGATTTGATCGACTTTAAAATGTCAAACAGATTTTTTAATTGGCATGGAAAAAGAGCAAATTCAAATTTTTTATTTTGCATTTTTATATTTACATAGAATAAGAACATAATTTAAAAAATTACAAACTCAAACCTTGTAATTTTATACAGTTGTTGCAACTCTTCTCTCCCATCGAAAATGTTTTTAGTTGCTCTCCCTCTTCTTCAAGGGACACTGCTTCAAGGGGCTCTTCATCAAGGGGCTCTGCGTCGAATGGCTCTTTGAATTGATGTTCTTCTAGAATCCTCTCCTGATGACTTAGATATTTTTTTGTGAGGCCTGTGTTGTGAATCCATCATTAGAGTGGTCAGCACCTTCGATATCGTAGTCCAGTCCAGAATAACCCTCAGGACATTTGTAGGTGCGAGGGGATAGAACTGGTGACCTAACTTTTTAAAGAAACTGTCTTCTAGGTGTGCTCTCCACTGTACTTTCAGGAGAAAACATTTCGATGTCACTATCTTCCTGAGCTTGGAACCTTTTTAATGCTTTTACAGCATTTTGATAATATCCTGCATAAAAAGTAAACACTATTGAACAAACAAACAAAGTTCATAAAAATAAAAGCAGACTTTTAATTAGTTTCATTAAAAAAAACTATAGATTTATATTTATAACGTCCAAATGGGGAAAAATTTCATAATTCATAATCAAATTTATTGACATTAAATCTATAAAAATTCCTTAATCTACTGTTCACGAATTTGAGAGAAAATAATGCTCTCTTAATGTAAAAATTATGTACTTAAATGGCGTTATATTTTAGAAAATATAAATTAATGCTATGCAAGTTGTGTGCTTTTTAAGAGATTATACAAGACATCATTTGGAACGAAATTTTAAATATTTAAATGCTTATAAAGACGAAGGTAAAATATAAGTCTACAATATCAAATAATTTAAATGTACTCACTAGACTTGTGGATAACTTTTACAGCATATCTTTTCCAATTAGTTTCCGGTTGCACACTGGCTTTTGCTGCTTTCACAATTCTTGCATTCATTGAATAAGGGGGCCAACGACAGATATTTGGTTTAGCCTTCAGGTTGACCCATGAAGAGGGAACGACATCCAGCATATTATTTGTCCTTTTGAACTTTCTGTTAAAGATAAAATCACAATATATAGTTTTCATTCTTTAGTACATTATATAGTTTTCATCTTTTTTTTCTTTTTTTTTATCTGTTAAAAATTTCCATTACTTTAGTATGCAATATGTTCTTTAAAACATTTTTTTATGATCTCATTTAACAGAAAAAGGAAGCCACTTCAATCAACTAGCCAGAGCTTTTTTACTATCTGTTTTACGATTTACGTATTTATGATTTGATTTTCTCAATTTCCTTTCTTGTGATTTGGAAATGGAAAGCTGCTAAAACTAAAAAGTGATTCAAACTTTAAAATTTTAAATGCTAAATGAAGTAAGAAATTACCATTTTAAGAAATTAAATTCTCTCATATAACTACCCTTCACTTACAAAATTTTTAGGCTTCTTTTGAAAAGTATTATTGTACTTTATACAATGTCCTGACACCAAAAAGTCTATTTCATTCTTAAAAAAGCATTAAAAGATCATGCATGTTATTTATAAGAATGTTTCGTATGAAAACATTACCTAGAAATCATAGGAATCGTCTAAATTCCATTCCATTCTGGTGATCAAGCACTGTTACAGTTCTCAGTTTTATAGCAAAATCCAATCCAAAACTTCTGATATTTTTAAGACTGAGCTTCTTTAATTTCGGTAATGAAAATCACACAATTCTTCTTCCTCATTTTACCACTTCCTATTAAAAGTAATTTTCTGATATTCTGTAACTTTCATATTTGTCAATTTTAGGCAGATGGTAAAGGTCCTTGAATTTCATTAGAATTTCTTTAGTTCTTGAATTCAATCACCGGTTTTGAACGTCGCATATAAATTTTCTGTTATGTAATTTACTTGTTCATGTCTATTAAAACTTAAGCTACCTTTCATCTTTTATTCTTTTATTTCTGATGTCGGCTTGAAGTAATTTTAGCAGCAAACTCTTCAAATTAAAAGAAGAAAAAACGGCATCTATTTCTGAAAATCACTAATTAATTGCATTTTTCATCTCTTTATTTTTAATTTTCTTAGCTAATAAAATTCAAAGAAAATTATTTTACACTTCCAAACGTAAAGATTTTAAACATACATGTCTCCTCATAAATAAATTTTCCCTTCGATATTAAATGAATGAATTTTAAAAAAAATTAATAAAAATTATAAATCGGAATGAAAAAAAATTTGTGAAGCTAAATTAAAATTTATACTAATATATACTACACACACAGCGTGTACTAATATATACCATAGGTTATAAACTAGTTATAAAACTGTATGTGGTAGTGGAAAACAATCGAGTTTACCTTTCCAGGGCAGACATACTGCTTTTCATTTTATTTGTTTTATGGAAATTATTATATCCTCCTCTGATACATTGCCTATTTTAAAAGAGGGGAAATTTTTTGCCCTACCTGTATAGGAGCACTTCTTAAAAGGTCGTACCTCCTTATTTTTTTTCCAATAACATAGATTTCTTTGTTAAATGCTTCTAAAATCGATGTCCTTTTTATGATACTTTCATTTCTCAAGATTAGGCAGGAATCTTTATTGCCTGACTGGATAGAAAATTTTGCATTTTTTACTTTACAATAAGAAATGCCTTGCAATCCTTCCCTTCGAACTTTTTCTTCCTTGTGTTCTCTTACTGAAACTGGAAGCCACTCTTCTGGATGATTCATTCCATTTTTGGTTTCAGGCTTCTCCAAAAGCCTTTTTACTATCTGTTGCAAGGGTTGATTGGATTTTGTAAGCTTTTTTTTTAAACATTTGAAGATGGTTTTCAAAAGGAAAGCTGTTAAATTTATCTAAGGCCCCGAAATTTAAAACGTCATCTGGTAAGTGAATCAGAGAAGGAACATTATAGGAAATAAAATTCTCCCCATATAACTCCTCTGATTCCCTTACAAAAATTTTCAGCATCTTTTGAGCAACTTGATACAGTATTCATGCGATACCAAAAAGATTATTGCATATGAAAACATCATAAAATGGTCGTACATTTTATTAGTTAGTACATCTCGTAAGATCAGAGGACCTAAATATAATAGAAATTGTCTAAATTCGGTCGCTTTCCAGTGGTCCAGCTCTTTTGTGGACCTTGGCTTTCTTACAAAATCAGATGGCCAAAACTTCTCTGAGTGCGTTAAACCGAAATTCAGCTCATTTATTTCGGATGGGGATAATCTCCCCATTCGCCCTCGTTTCTTTCCACTCCAAATGAAAAGCAGTTTCCTCATCACGCCTAAGCAAACGAGATGCTTGTATTCTTGAGGGAATTGCTTCACCATGTCTATTTTCAGAGATTCCAATGGCGACGTTCTTATGTGATGCTCAACTTGCTGTTTTGCTCGAAAAGAGTCGTCTGTCCTCAATGGGGCAGTTGTTTTTGGAAAAACTAACGCATTTCTTTTTTTGCCGCGTTGGATGCATCTATCACACCCATAATATCCGCAATGGCCTTTTATGCATTTAATGTAGGCCCTTGCAGGAGCATCACACGTGAAGCATCTAATTTTCAAAGCCAATGATTTGCCTTGAAATTGTATACCTTCTTCCGATAAGAAAGCTACCTCATCTATGAATTCGGAAAAAAATTGTCAATGGGAGGTTTAGATTCCCCGTAAAACAAAGCAACGGTAAAAGGCATTTTGTTGGGGTCCTCCTGGATACTACATAGCAATGGCCACAGACTCATGTTTGTGCTTGAATGCAGAGGAATTCCATCAACATTGACATTTAAAGAGAGTTGTTCAATTTCCTTCAAATCTAACTTTTCGATGCTTGATTTAATTGTCTTTTCTAAAGTGAAGTAATAAAATTTGCCAGACCCATTTCCTTTAAAAATATTTCCCTTGGAGTTTTTAGAAGAGTTCTCGCATCAGAAGGTAAAGAAGGATGCCAAGTACGCAACCTCTTTAACAATTTATTTAGAGCATCTCGAGAGAATTGATGGAGAATCAGAATACCAATTTCTTATAAATTCTCTAATATCTGATGAAACCTCTAACGGCCTTTGTTCGGCAATTTTCTGATCACAAAATTCTTCAATAGAAGAATAGAAATCGAACTACAAAGGAAGGTAAGACGATACTGATTAAAGCATGAACAAACAATTAAGATGCGAATAGTTGTTAGTTGAACATTGCATGTGCTGCACTAGGGAGAAGATTTCCCGGACAGGCAATTCAACCGGGGGATATCAACCCAGGAAGGTAAGTCAACCGGGTATGGCCAATTCCAAGTCTAGTTAGCTTAACGTTAGCACTACGCAAGCTCAATACAGGCAAAGGGAGCAATCTAAATTTAGTAGCGTGTAGTTTATTACGAACTTGGATATCCCACTGTTGCTTCAACAGAGATTTAACAAGCTGACGAATATGAGAGACATCTGAGAAAGGAATAGATGTAGTTAAGGCCTGGTTTCTTAGGACAGGTCGGCGCTACAAAACGTCAGCTTGAAGCGAGCGCTAACCCCTGATTGGTCAATTTGTGAGTTAGACAGCATACGTCATCGAACGCTCAGCTTGAACGACGACTGACTACAGGAGTATTAGCGGATTGTGTTGCTGTGTCTGCTGAACCATGCCCTAGGAATTCCTACATGACTTGGAATCCGACTTGGAAAACCAAATGTCGGATCCATTCTTTTTAAGGTGAAATAATAGATGCTAAATTAGACATAAAACTGGATGAGTTTCAGACTTAGAATTTCTCAGAAGGCTACATTCTCAGTTAAAATATCGTCGTTTCTTAGTTTCAAAATTGGAACACTTTGTCAAAATGGGCTTTAGAGTTAATAGTCCTCTTCAACTGGGGGCAAACAGGTGCTGGTTCATTTAGTAAGAGTTGTCTAAGTGTTAATCTTGTATGACCTATACGTAATCAGCTTATTAGTACTTCAATTTTTCTGGAGCAATTTAAGTTTTTAAAAGGGAAAATTAGTGGTTTTGTTTCATGCAGTTAGGCAGGTTTGTACACATTTGTTTAAAATCCCATTATATAGAATTCTTTTTTACAATTCAATATTTCCTTAATATCTTTAAAAACTCAAATTATAAAAGAAAATTAATACATTGCTTTAAAATTAAGAAAATTTAATAAAAAAAGACAACTGCAACGGTGTGACTGTTTCTATAATATATTAAAAATATGACAAAATGCTATTTTATTAATAATTATACTTTATCTTAGTATAAATTTTTCCACGCAGTATACTTTTTCTTACTATACTTGTATGCAATATTTCTAGTTATGCGTCCATTTATTTAAAACAAATATTGAAATGTTACATTCAAATATTTTCAAACTGTCACATTCAAAATCCCAGAAGCCTAATCATTTCTATTATTCTGAAATAAAACTGACAACTTGAAGAATTCTTTTGAGACAAGCATGGACTAATGGATTTGCCTTCCGGGTATAGATATAAGTTCCTTTATCTACAAAGTTCAGATCATACATAAAACACCCTCAACAAAGTTAAAATAACTCATCTTGTCAGCTTAAGCACTCCAATAAGCAGGAAATCCCACGCAGCCTTTCTTCTCTTTACCATCGATTATTTTGGTCATCTTTCACATGGAATAAGTTAACGAGTATTCTTGCTTCAGACAACGGCTGTGTGCAACATTTCAATCATCTTTTATCCCATACAATTGCGCATTTATTTTTATTATGTGATTCACCATCTCCTGTTGTGTGTTTATTAATCTCAGTGCAAACCTAATCAATGTTAATGGACTAAGAAAACAACAACTTTGTGTGGAAATTTTGATAGTTTTAAATTAAAAGACAAAATTTGAGGAATGATAGAAGACTCTTCAATTTCTTTCGTAATTGTTGTATTAAAAATTGAGTTCTAATTGAAAGCATTCAAATTTTTATTTCTTACCCTATTTCTGACTGGAATTCTTAAAAAGAAACTGAATGATAAAAGAAAACATTCTAATTTTATTCTCGTCTTCTTCGGTCATCTTTTGCAGAGAATGAGATTATAAGCATTCTCAATTCAGTCAACGGATGAGTGCAACATTTCAATCACCCTTTTAACCTGCACAAACGTCCATTTATTTTTGTTTCGTGCTATGTTTATTTTAATTATTATTTTTTTTAATATTTGAGTCATTAATCAGAACATTACAAGTTTTATTGAATTTGCTTCAATTCATTCAAAATTTAAAAATAAAAGCATTCTAATTGTTCTTGAGTTCATCCAGAAATTGATTGAGCCCGAAATAAAAGCATTAAATTTTTTGTGAATATAACATGTTTGACAAAATTGCTTCACTGAATTCATATTTAGATATGATGTAAGATGTGATAAAAGATCCTTTAACAACAGTTATTCAAAACATTCCTCAAATTATAAAACCACAAAACGTAAGTTACTTAAACATTGAATTAAAAGTTTAGTTTGATGTTTTGGTACAAAACTAAAACGTAAAAGTTTTTGGAAGAATTGAATTGATTGTAACTTAATAAAATGTTTAACTAACATATTCTGTTTATCAGAAAAGTATTCAGATTTAATCCTGTCAATACAAAAGTTTAACAACTGTACAACTATAATTGGAAAGACGTGGTAATTTAACTCTAACCAAGGAGAATCCTCCATTCCATACTTTTTAATTGTTGCTAACCTTTGCAAAACCTAGCATGGCGGGTAAAAACGACTCAGAAAAATGATGGGAATAATTTCAATGATTTTTACCTCAGCTGTATTTAATCATTGACAAATATTTATTTTTTCGTTTAAAAATATATTGCTAATATACATGGTAACTTTTTTATTATTCCACAAAGTTTAGTTCCCTAGCTAGTAACTAAAACCAATTTCAGCTTGAACATGAGATTTCCGCAAAGTATATATATTCCAGTAGTTTTCTTAGAGGTTAGTCTCCTTTTGGGGTAGGCGGCGAAACTACCGTCCTGCCTGATAATAAAATTGGAACAGTTTCATTAGAGAATATCATATCTCTATATAACATAACTACCCCGAGACGAAACAAAATATATAAAATTACCTCTATAATCTTCAAAAAAAGCCCAGCTGTAGATCTCTTT